GAGGACTGCCTTATAAATGCATGAAATCATGCCATAAAGGGCTTCAAAGGTACCTCTTTTAGATAATTATTATTTTCGGCCGCCCGTTGTCCGCCAGCCGGTGTACGCCGCGGCCGACGCCGCGCTGCCTTTGGACTGCAGTGCCGGGCGTTGACGTTTTTGTTTCTACTTCTTGCGAGCGCGCATGTAAACATATCGTACATACATTCTTAACTAATCGCTTCTGACTGAAGGTTGAGCATTCTCAGACGATTATGTGTTCAGTGTTCGATACAAATGTTACAAACGTTCCATCCCATTTCGATCTATGGTCAGTCAACGTTCAGGGAGTGCTCAATATCCCTGAACATCCCAGGGAAAAATTTGACAAAGCCTCTGGCTCTGAGTTCTATCGGATTATAAAGAATCCACACAAGTACAAAACGAATAGCGCCCAGGTATATTCCTTGCAGTCATTTAACGCCCGACACTTCCGTTCATTGAATTTAAAATACAAAAACACTTGCTTCTTCCGGTAGCTCCTATGACTCCTATTCCCGCTACAGAAATTAAAAATGAAGATGAAACGAAGAAAATCGTGCCCGTTCAAAATCAAGTTGGTCAAATCCGGTGATGTCCCTTTTTGGAGGGGAGGCTCTCACCTCCAGGGTGCCTTTGTCAACCCTGCGCCCTAACCTTAACAAAGCCCTGGCTGCGCTCCTGCTAATCAAAATGAGGTAGATCTTACATGCTCTCGTGCAACTTATGATAAAACATGGCTTAAACATAAGTACACCAGCCCGATGAGCGTTGGAGAACATAGTCACAACGCATCTTGCCGGCGAAAAGCTGCCTCCCGATAGCTGTGCGCAGGGACCGCAACGGAAGCATTTCGCGAAACAGACATTTCCAATGGAAAATCTGGGCTATCATTAAATCATGCGACAAAACTGGTCTTGCCGTGTCAATCGGTCGTCTGATCTCACGTGTGTGTACAGTCTCAACCCGATAAAGCTCGGCCTGAAAGCACTCCCACTAAAGCGCTCTCCTTTCAGCAGATTATCTCCGAGTCAGCTCAGACGCAAACTTCATACGATAATGACCAGTAAAAGTCGGCGGATGCCTTCAGTGCCGGGCTGGCAGCTGCCGACCGCCACACCACGCTGAAGACTGTCACCGGGCTGGCAGTTGCCAGCGGCCACACCAGGCTGGAGACTGTCACCGGGCTGGCAGCTGCCACACCACGCTGGAGACGGTCACCAGGCTGGCAGCGGCCGCACAAGGTTGGAGACTGTCACCGGGCTGGCAGCTGCTAGCGGCCACACTAGGCTGGAGACTGTCACCGGGTTGCCAGCTGCCACACCACGCTAGAGACTGTCACCGGGTTGCCAGCTGCCACACCACGCTAGAGACTGTCACCGGGTTGCCAGCTGCCACATCACGCTGGAGACTGTCACCGGGTTGCCAGCTGCCACACCACGCTGGAGACTGTCGTCGGGCTGCCAGCGGCCACACGAGGCTGGAGGCTGTCGCCGAGCTGGCAGCTGCCGGCGGCCACACGAGGCCGGAGACCGTCATCCGCGGTACAGACTCAGCTATCGATGGAACACAGACCGCATCGATTCTGCGCATCTCTTCCCGGTCTGCGTGCTCCAGAGCACCTCGCCGGTCCGTCGCCACCCAGCTGGGCACGCGATCATGCGCCGCAGCTCGTCACGTGCTGTTGGGTTCCATCATCTGCCCCACGACGTGAATAATGCTCTCTCGCCCTATCGGCAGGCGCGGATCGTGCCGCATCAGCACAGCACAATGCGCATTGGTGCATGCCATCCGCTGGTTCATGATGCCATTTCTGTTCCACGGTTGATTGGAAGACCGACCTTACAACACGAAATTACGGGTTTTCTGGTCCAAAAACTGTCAGAGAGTTTCCTTGCTTCAATTCTGCCCGGAATCAGTGAGACTGAAAACTAGTTTTATCTGCAACCGTACACTGACATGCGCAATCACCATTGGTCTCTGAACAGACGCCATTTTGGCCGCCTTCGATTGATTCACTGAACACGAAGATGTAACAGTATCGCATTTTCTGTGGCGATCGATATGAGGAGCCTTTCAGTATTAATCAAGGCGACTCATTCCAACACTGGTCGTATCGCATATCAGCCCGACACATCGTGACGAATCTCACCGGTCAGCTGCATGTTGTCGCCGCAGGCTGAGAAGGAGCTCAGAGCCGTCCACTACCGCACAAGGGTTCGCTCGTCGCTCCGATTTTAACCCCAACATGCACAGGCTTCGCCATCCTTCCCATAGTCACTGCAGCCTTCCCTCACGGCGACAGCCCCAGCTGCTACAATCAATCACATCACCGATAGAGCCGACGCACACAGGGCGTTCCCCAAGTGTTCCCACAATTATAATGTTTTGTTGCGAACAAATAATGCGCGCAAGTCAGAGTCCGGGCTGAGTCAAATACTTAACTTGGATCAATGATTGGCCTGCCCGAGTAAAAATGTAATCCACTACATCTTATTCTGACGGCGCTTAAATGTTCCAACAAAAGTAATATCCAGAAGACGCCTCGCGCGGTGTGGGATGGGCCAGGCGAAGCAGGCGTAAGGGTTGTCAGTTCTTATCATTTGGATGGTGCAAAAATAGCCGAGCTAATGGAGTTAGACAAGCCAACACCATCGGCCAGCGATACCAGCGGGCTTGATCAATACGCTGAAAAGCCTGGCTTTCGTGAGAGTTTAACAAGCGGAAGTCTACTGATGTCGTATTGGCCTCCTTTTGAGGTAAAAATGGCTAGCTCTGGGTCATGCCGGTCTTCCCACTTTTGGCCGACAAAATCGATCAGCTGCCATTATTTACTATTTTCACGACATCGACGTCAGCTATTGCTGTCACGGCACAACAGTAACAGCAGCGGACTTGGCGGCCAGTCTGTAAGGTGTCAATGGGCCTATAGTTTCTCGTTGCCGTGTCCGGCCGTTGAGATCTGGAGCCGGCTTCCGCCAGTGTCTTAAGCTTTTCGCACGGATAAAATTTCAACACTGCCATATTTATCGTAATCGTGAAATCGTGGTGATAGTGTTATGCCATTAGTAATGCTGCAGGAATAAAAGTTCGACTCGACTCCGGTGAAGCAGTTTCAAACATGGGGCTACACATACGACCAATTTTCGTGGATGGAACTCTTGGGAGTTCTCTCTAATGAAACAGCTACTCTGTGTTACACGTTACCTCGCTCACACTGACCCACAAAACAACTTTTCAGCCATGTAGTCGCATGGAGTCGATGGCTGCTCAGAGTGTTCTCGTCGCAGATGTCGCCTTTCATGAAACTCTACTAGCAGCCCACGGGCTAGGTTTGGGAATAGCGTGGTGGGGGGGGGGGGGGGGGAGGGGGCTAAGACGTGCCTCGTCTTTAACACGACCACACTTTCTCGGACATATTCGGCAAGGTTGTTACTGGCCCCATTACGGGGCGTCTCCCACATTTATATGGGGTTTTAAACTGAAATAGCCATCTTGAAGATCACTCCGTGTAGTTCACAGGCATGCCCTTCTTAAGACCTAAGCCCCCCGAGTTCCTGAGTTGCACGCCCGCAAAGATGGAGACCATTTCGGACTATTTCAAGGTCACCTTGGCATTAATGACGTGATAATGCCGTTCAAATCCTCCCATTCCATAAGTCATGCGGCGATCATGACCAAGGAAAATATAATGGTCCAGTCGTTCGTATCTGGTGTTCACGAGCACGACTTCTAGATCTAACGGCCGTCAATTGGCTCTCAATCGATGTTGTGCGAGGTACGGTGACATAATCAAACGGTGATGTATCGCGGAGCATATTAACTAAACAGAGAAATCGTGTTGTCTCGAGCGGTCTTTTCTACTTGAAAGTATTCAAGTAGTTATAGGTGAGCTTGTTTCATCATACCCAATGTTTGCCTCAATATCCTCAAATGTGAAGCATTCCCATTAAAGCGTGGCCGGCAGCTCCACCACATTGGAGCTGCTGTCTATTGAATTTGACCCGACTTCAGCGAGCAGCGGACTTCCTTCGCGTGGAACACACATGGGTAGCTCACTCCCGTGACATCAGGAGCCAGGGCTCCTCTCAGCGCTACAAAAGGGACAATGACCACCAAAACACGGCATGAAGAATGTCCATGACGCTCAAACATCCACGCAAGTGAAGGTTAACGGATGTGTTGTGCGTCGCGCAGGTCACTGCAGCTGACATCGAGTAATTCATAAATCAGATGAGCTTCACGGTGTGCGCAGGTAATATTTGTGTTCATACTGTTAAGTCTGATGTGTCAACAACACTCCTCTTCACGAAAAGTGGTCTTTAGAGGGTAAAACCACGCGTGATTCCCTTACAATCAGACACCGCAAGTGCTAAAACTTTTGAGACGCCCAATACAATGATATCTGACGCCAAAGTCCCGGACCTGGAACGCACGCAATGCACGCATTTCAGACCTGGCTTAGGTCCATTGCAGTTAGAATGAACAAAACAAGAATGGGCTTCGTGCCGATCGGTACAACAGCACCGGTTCAGAGGCTGGTGGCGATACCAGCACCGGCAGCCCAGCCACCACACTGGAGAAATCAATATGGGCGCAATGACGTGCGCTGTTAAAGCTGGAGGAAAGCTCACTGAAAGAACTTGGACTTTGTGGTTGTTTTTGCTGACACCATTTTTCTCTGCTCGCGTTCAATGCCGTGTTGTGCTTACACACATGCACGTAAAATGTGCAGGTCTGTATGGACAGTTTCAGTCTCTGCCTGCAGTGCGTTTCGGCGAAAGTCATTGACTTTCATATCACGGTCAAGAAAGTACGCAAGAAGGCTAGCGTCGGGCGCGTCACGCGCACGCATGTACGCGCGCACTCATACGCACACCACTACGCAAGCACACAACTGCGCAAACATGCCCCGCGCATCTCCGCTCAGTAGTCACCCATAACCCCGGCGCTGGCGTCAGGACGGTGCGGCCGCCGCTCACCTATGCGGACGTGCGGGTTGCGCAGGAGCGGCCCGCCGGGCACGAGGGCGGCCACGACGACGGGCGCGGCGCCGCTGCCGCCGCCAGCCGATAGCGCGTGCTCGCTGACGAAGCCCAGCAGCGACTCGGAGAGCGGGTCTGGCCGGCCTGAGGACGGGCTGCGCGTGTCCAGGCGCACGACCACCCGGTACACCTGCCGGCCAGTGGGCGCCGGCTCACCAGACGGCTAGCGTGACGGGTAGCATGAGGTGGCCGGGCCACGCATGGCTGTGGCTGGTGCCGCTGATCAGCTCCACACGGAACACCACACCGCTATGGTCTTTCCCGTAATCATTCCCTAATGGACAATTTAGCCGGACAGCGTTGCCATGTTTTCGCTTTCAACTGGTTTACTTCAGACGCTGGTTGCAGTTAATTCCCTCGCCCGCTTTAACTATTTAAGCGCGCTGAGCCTCGCCTTCAGGCGCCCACCAGTCGCAGCACGCCTGCATACCGCCGGGTGGTCAGGCTCGGACTGGCTGGCGTCGTGCCCCGCTCACCTCTGCGCCCGTGTCGGCGGGGCCGGAGGCGGGCGGGCGCCACTGCTGCGGCTCACCCGCCTCTCCGGCCGTCACCTTCTGCGACTTTCGGCGGCGCAGCATCTGACGCAGCTTGCTGGCGGCCGAGCCGGGCGGCTGCCGCGCCCGCGGCGGCGGCGACGGGTCGGCTGGTTCGCCGGGCTGCGGCCGCGCGACGGCCGGCGAGCGCTGCCGCTCCTCCGGCTCGGCGTAGAACAGCTCGCCGCGGGCGTCGACCGCCTGCTCCCAAGCACTCGGCTGCGACCTGGGGCACAGCAGGCGGGTAATGTACTTAGGGAGGAATGGCGCGAAAGTGAGTCGTCGGTTACTACGCAGGGGGCGGGACAATCGAATACGCCAGTGGGCTGGCGAGCGATTCGCCACATATAACCTCCAGTGGACGAAGAGTGCGGCTGCTGCATCAGTTCAAATACATATGTTTACTACCTGCAACTGCACAAGATCGATGTTGGTAAAATAAATCCCTAATAGCCTTTCTCCCTTGAGCTTGAGCTTAGACCTCTTCCTGATGTGAGCTGCTGTTATTTAAAACTAAAATTTGCTGTTTTGGTTCTGGTGATAATACAGTTGGTGATGAAACAACTGGTTTAGGTGATGGTCTGTCTGCAATTGAATTGTCTGACTGAAATTTTAAGGCTTTCAGTCATTTTCTAAATGCAATATCCCACATGCATAATCCAATTACAGGAATTTTAGCCTTTCTGTGGTCTGTACATCACTGCCAAACACTCACACCTGAGTGATAACATTCATGTAATTGCACAGCTAACAAGCAAAGTGAAGTCTTTTGGCACAGCAATTTGCACTAGTTCTAGCTCACAAGCCATCATAATAGGTGTAATGCAATGAACTGTGAGTGATGGCCACAGTAAAGATTCAGTGCTATTCATTAGCATGTTTCGAACAAAATAGATGGTCTGAAGCACTTGCATGAACACCACAGTGCCTATTTTACAATATACATGCAATACATGAGATGATCTGAAACAGGGCATGCACACATTGAAGAGCTAACAGTATCTACATGTTTAGCCCTCACTGCTGTACTTGAATGCACAGATGCTCACCAAAACTACAAACTTATGCTAAATGCCAAGGTATTAAGGTTTTTTGATCTGATAACAATGCACAGTTCAGTTTACCAGCTGGTTCTGCAGCAGCACCTAGAGCAACTAAGCTATATATATTATAAACTCGAGGTTTTGTAATACCTATGCACACATTCAGGTTTTTTCTCAGAAAAGATCTCAGATGAAAAGCTGCATTTCAAAACTAGTGAATGATAGCAAGGACATATAGTACATATAAGCATCAGAACTAGCCCCACGAGCAAACAAGCACAGCCTGTGTGCTGACTGCTCATCATAATACTACATGAAGGCTCGTATATGGGCATCTTCTGAAAAACAATATTATCAATGCATAATCAGCAGAGAAGACAGGTGAGATTCAGACAATCTTGCAGAGGCTATAAATGATATCACACATCACAAAAATGTTTATAATTCCAATGAAAAAGCATTTTAACAATCTCCTGCTCACATGCTGTGGCTCAACCCCCCACCAAGAAGGTGAACTGGTTTATCTAATGGCTTAAGGCTAGTCAAGCATCACTAGGCAACCTGTGGACAACAGCTTGGCCAAGTTGTTTAAGTCATGGAAACTGAGTTTCAAAATTGATGGCCCAGAACAAACTCCAATCATCAAACATCAAAAAGACAAACAAATAGTGATAAGACTGGTGCTTGTCCACACTTTTAAGAATGGTTTATCCATTTCACTTAACAGTATAGTTTGGCTCAAATGGGATTTTGAGTAGGACAATATAAAACATGTGCTTTACATGTTTGAAACTGGGGTTGATAAATATTTCACACTTGAAAAACAAAGAAAGCATGCGTTCCTACCCTCCAGTGGTTACATCCCAGTTTGCAACACATTCATACTTCTCTGAGTTGTCAAGCTGACCAGCATCTTGAGAATTCCCTGCATCGTGCCCTATTTGGAAATGATGGTTCAAACGCGATTCGTTTCCCGGCACTGGAACACTTGCCATGTCTCATGCAACTTGACGCCGTCCACCGCGTCACTGGACGTGCCCTGCAGTTCGTTCCCTGAACTACTTTCAATGATATCTGCTCAAATAATAGGGCATTGCTCGAAAACAACCCCAACCCTCCCCGCGCTGCCCTGTTTTGTTTACTATAGAATCACCAACACACCACAAACGTCAAGGCTATCGAAATATGTTGTCCACTGCAAAGCTAAATAAGTTCAAGAAATGACGTCATGCAATCTTATCGCATAACATAGCCTTGAACCGAACTGGCAATTGCAAGCAGACCAACGTTGATAAATCCACCACTACCGACATTGATTTTATATGAGCCTGCACCCTTCAAGATGTTAAGTTGCCTTTAGATGATACAGACGCTGCTTTTTATGGAATTCATTGGTTTATGCGTGTCGAATAGGTGGCATTACCTGCATCCATTACACACATTTAAGGGAGTACAGACGTGTGCGCGAACCGTTCACGCATCTAAGTCCGCGGATCACTGCATTGAGTGACAAACATGTGCGTTTACACTCCAGTAGTCGCACTTGCGCGACTCGTCACTGATGGCAATTCAGCCCAGCGCACTTTCGTTTTCAAAACCTCAAGCAATCGAAGGAAACCACACGACTTCCGTAGCCGCTCAGAACGCCACTCTCAACACAAGACTCTGATCGTTATCGTTAATGCAAGACCCAAACCGCATAAAACATCGTTCTCAACGCGAGACCCTCGACGCTTAAGTTATGCGTCATCCACACGAGTTTCCTCTACAAGCCAAGTCAGCTTACACACACACACACACGCACACACACACACACACACACACACACACACACACACACACACACACACACACGCACGCACACACACACACACACACACACACACACACACACACACACACACACACACACACACACACACACACACACACACACACACACATATATATATATATATATATATATATATATATATATATATATATATATATATATATATCATGCGTAGTTGCCTCCGTTCCTCATTGCACAAAACCCTTACTGTATTGAGACCTTCTCCCGTTTGCGACAACCTACCTCTGGCAACTAGTAGGACCACCTTGTGCCCAGCACGAGAACCTCCAGCTGTGCAGCGATTGAAAATCGTCCAAATCATCTGTACGATGAAGCCGTTAGGTCTAGTTTGGAGTCTCTTCCATAAGCTTTCTGTCGCATCTTGACTCTCAGTCACTTGCAACCCCTAAATTATTGAGTATCATGGCGTCTACATAGCATACTGGTGTCCCGCAGCGGGCGCGGTCAATTCCGATCACATCGAATTCTTTCAAACTGGGACATCTTCTTAATCATTTAAACATCACGCTGTCGGCCATCATCGTCGCTCACACCCTGTTTACCCAGGGGCACCAACCGTTCCGAAGGCGCTCAGAATAAAAATATCGATTAGATGGGTATAGCCATAATGTTACCTATGGGTAAAGATCATTCAGGGTCCTGCTAATACAGGACATAATGGTTAGGAAGGAAATGAAAGGACATTAAGTTTGACGGAAATAATTATATTTACCTGTACCTAGATTCATTATCTATTGGTAATAAACGACAAATAATAGATGCCCGAACTGCCTACAATCAATATAAGCGCAAGATTCTGGGACTGGTTGTGGTGCACTTTTAGTTTTCATTAACAGTGTGCTAATTACAGCAGACAGAATGCCTCATTCCTGGTCATATTCCCCCGTCTACATTTCAGCAGCTCCAAATTGAACTCAACAGCCTGCACACTATTCTAGCGCCAGACGGCTCTTTCTCCGGGTCAATCTGTTTCACCCATCAGCAAGCCATTTGATTCGCTGGATATTCAGCCGTTCTAATCGGGAAGCCCAAAGACCAACTATCTCGTTTCATTAGCAGAAATGGATGGCGACAGCAGACGTGAATTATCTCGGAACTGAGAGCGTCGCATCGCATCGCTGCAAGCAGAGCGCTTTGGAACGTCTCAATGACACTGAATCGTGCCGTCATGTGCTGACGGTGTAAAAACAAACGACGCGACTATTCCAGTGGACTGTATCATCTGTCAGCGTTGACGGTGCGCTTCTTGTGGACGCCATGGACGGTGCAACGGCAGCAGATGTGGAATGGCAAGCCGTCGTCGCTCCGCCCAGGTGCAGCGTGGTGCCGCCGTGCTGTCGGCAGTCAGTCTGGCGACGGCGCAGCTGGCCCTGCCGGCACCGTGACCTGCTGGACATGGAATAGCCTCTTGGAGGTGTTGGAGCCGCGGCGGGTGGAGTGCACCACGTTGCCACCTCGTTAAAAGTGTCTAGGAACGAGTAAACATGGTATTCTATGAGGAAAAAAACTGGCGAAACACGATGTTGATGTAATTTGCACATGCACTGTTCTTAGCACTGTTCTTAGCACTGTTGTACAAACACTTTTCAAGCACTGAATGCCAATGTTCTTAAGTCATTTTGAGCGAAATGCCTTGCCACACATCGCATGCATGCAAATGTTATAGCGATGCTTGGCCTGCAGATGTTTTTGCCATAAGCTGCCACAGGCGGTAGCAAAGAAAATGATAGTCTCTTCCCTTTATAAGAATGTGGGCAACGGGATGCAAAACTAACTTAATAAAGGTCTTCTCAAAAGTATGCAGATCTGATTGCTACAGCCCTCTAAATGGAAGAGCAACAGAAGGAAAATTTGTAGGTGGGCAGACAGAAACTGGTGTCTCCCTTACGGAACTCACTGTGATGTAGGCTGAGTGTGTGATGGCGTATACAATGTGACTGATCCCGTCTCGGAGAGGATGCGATCATTTTTTAGGTTCTTGCATCTGCAAAAGGCGTTGGGATAAGATTCATGGCACAATAATGGAGCAACCAAATCGCGTTCGCTATTTTTTCCTTTAACACCATGTCCATCGCACCGTAGAAATGCAACAATTCCGTTAGAAGCATCCTTCAGAGTTAATATCAACAGCGCAATCAGTCACAGAT